AATGAAAGCAAATGTTACCTCACCCACCCACTCCAAACACAGAAACACACAAATTCGGTTCACAAAAGAGTAGGGTTACACAGTGACTTAACAGATTTCAGTCTCACATTCGTCATCACATTTTCAGGACTACCAGAATCACACCTGGCATGACAGGATCTGTAAATTCACCTGCGTGAAGGCGCCTGCATTCAAACTCCATACCAAACTCGGTGGTTTCTAAAAATATACAGGTTGCTTTAAGGTTTATGGGGGGAAAGTAGGTTATGCTTTTACCCATAAAGGTCTGGATGACTCAGAGTTTAATAATAGGATACGTGAGCTTTCACCCCTAGGTCACTGATTCTAGGACGACTACAGTAGACTGTCATTTGACGGCATTGCCATCTCGCAGCTGTTTGGTTCAAAATCTGTAGAAGAAATGTTCTGCGTGTCTCTATTAATACTCACTTGACAGGTGTATGCATTCCAACTCCTGTGCATCTGCCAACTGCGACCACTTTGAAGCGGAGTGATGAAAGCCACAACAGCTGCCACCTTGAGACAGCCCTGAGCCTGCCCAGTCCTCTCCTGTCTTTATCTAAAGTGCTAAATATTAATACTTCATATTACAACAGATTTTACCGTCTAAAACCAAAATCATAACGGAAAGAGATCTGTGGAGGATTTCTGAAATGAAACCAATTCATTTCACATCATTGTATACAACAAAGAAAGCAACAACTTTTCCTCCTAGGAAAATGTGGTAAAAGCCAAACCAGCTGAGAAAGTCAACATTTCTCATGGCTCAGTGACCTGTAGGAGACCACAGACATCCTTGGGACTGTGTGCTTCTGCCATAGTCATTGCTGCACAGGCAGGTCACCTGGAAATGCACTTCTAAATTTTATGTACCAAAGCGTCATGTACCCAGGCAATATGAACCAATATAACTCCCACTATCTCTATCATGGTGCTCTACAGCCTCTAAGTCAATACCTATGTAGAGCCAAAGACTAAATTATAATCAGTTCAACCCTTCACCATGGCAATTGGAAACTAGATGGTACCTACTACACTGAAAAGTCATCCCATTGCCCTAGCCAGTTTGGCTCAGTGGACAGAGAGTTAGCCTGCGGACTGAAGGGTCCCGAGTTTGATTCCGGTCAAGGGCACATACCTCAGTTGCAGGCTCCTGGCCCTGGTTGGGGCATATGGGAGGCAACCAATGTGTCTCTCTCTGTCTCTCCCTCCCCCTTCCACTCTCTAAAAATCAGTGGAAAAAATATCCTTGGGTGATGATTTAAAAAAAATAGTCATTCCATTAAGAAGGGTTCCCCACAGCCTCAAGTCACAGCAATACCTGGAGAAGAATTATGTTTTGAAAAACAAAACTATTATTTTTAAACCACAGTATGGAGATATTTGTCATTGACTAATTTGTTATGTCTGTACTGAAATAATGATGAGTTACCCATTGACCTTTACCACATATTCAGTCCATGGCTCAAATGGAAATAAGACTCATGTAGAAATCTGTATTCTCATCTTCCATATCCACATTCATACCTTCTTTCAAAGAATGCAGCATCTCCTTTTAGGAGAAAGTTAATTTAACCAGGTGATAGTCCAAGTCACATTTAGGGTACATTTTTAATGTTTGTACATAATGCTTAATAGGGATCAGCTTTAGTGATGTTAAATACTGCCCTATTTGGCACAGACTCGGAAAATGGTGACAAAATCACTAATAACTTTTTATTTGAAATATATCACTGAAATAT